GTAATACATCTCCACAGACCCATTTGATGGGGGACATTCCATTTAGCACCACGTATCCCAAGGTCAAGAAAATCTCTTAAGTGTGATCACCTGTACGATCAAAAGCAATTTATATACTTCCATTAATTCCAATAGTGAATATCCCCACTTGAAAAGAAAGGAAAAAAAAAGAAAAATAGCAAGGAAATGCCAGCCCAAAACAAGAATTACACTCAACAGAGCAAGCAGACAACCCTGGAGCTCTTCTGGTTTCTGTGGAGACAATATACAGAGTGCACTGACATATATTACACATAAAATAAAACAAAATAAGTAAACCTTTAGAAAATAAAGGTCTTCCAACCAGTCACAAAATGTGGATTTCATTTGGGTTTTAATTTAATCATTATTATAAGAAAACACTGGTAAAAATGAAACAATGCTAAAAGAATATTTGAACGTAAAGATTTATTATGAATTTTAAAGATATAATGAGGATATTTATCCAATTAAATTTTTAAATTTGTAGTTAAGGAAAGCATTTTGTACGACTTACAGATAAATTCTATGGTTCTTAGGCTCCTGTAAGGTGATATTAGAGGAGTCACGGGGCTGCTCTAGTGGGTAGGCTAACAATCCAAAAATATAAAATGGTCAGAAGCAGGTTTCTCCATCTCTAACCGAAAGAGGTTAAGATGGGTGTGTACACAATGTCTAGTCTCCCACTCTAAAGCCAAACATAAACTGTATGTTCAAAGGTCAAAATACATTTACAGTATGATTAAATATTTCCTCAATAGTTGCCCAGAAAGAGGTGTAGACCACTGTTTTCCCAACGGGGTGTGCTATAGTCCATAGGGAAAGGTAAGGAGCCCTGCTGATATGGCATGCGAATCCTCATCTGCTTAGTCTGACCTGTAGCAAGTGTGAGGAGTGAGGCCAGTCTCACAGACCTGAGAATGTTGACCATGGCTCATCATGGGCTGCAAAGAACCTGAGCTCTGAATTCAACCAGGAGATCAGTCCGCTGAAACAAAATAATGTACTCTCTACAAGACTGCAACACTGCCAAGATACACTACAAACTAAACCAGCTGTGTCCATGAAATCCCCAACGTTTGTTCAGCATGCAAAAAAGCAGGTGCAACCCAGTTGTAACAGAAAAGACAATGAAGGAGATTAGCCCTGAAATGAACCAGGTGTTTGAATTCATGATGACTCCAACAGATACTGCCATCAAAGCAAATACAAGGGCATGATAAAAGGAGCTCCAGGGAACTTGTTGTACAGAGATAAATGCAAATTCTAGTCACCCAGGTGTCAATGTGCACACACTGTACTAGCTAAAACAATAGTGCCCTGCAGCACTGGGGAAATCAGATACTTCTGGCAAGAGTATGGACTTGTGTGATCACATGGAAAGCAGTTCATAAGTTCCAGAAGGAAGCTAATTGATCATGCTCCCACAATCCTATACACATACTCTCCACGAAAACAAAGACAGTCAATACACCGTTGGGCATATGCATATTGTCTGCAAGCGGACAAGTATGAAAATGTTCATCGTAGTTTTATTTGCAATAAAATCCACAGCACTAACATTTGTCAGTAGAAGGGCTCGTAAAGAGTGTAACGTGGATGTAATGAGTGTCTTTTAGTGATACAAAGCAACAAACTTCCGACTCCCCGAACAAACGCCATGCTGGGAGTCAGAAGGTGGCGCAAGCCTGTGCGCCATAATGAGGCTGTGTGTCTTCCTAATCTGAGGTCCTGTGGTGTGCATGTGACTACTGACTCTCTTCTGGAATATTTGAATATGCTCGGATCTTTCCCAGAAGGGATCTTTGGGGATCATGAGATTACAGATCTTGGTTTCCGTTGGGTATACGGATGTGAGAAATTGTATGCTTAGGATTTATACATTTTTACTAAGTTACTTTAGAAACAGTCATATTTTACATATCAATACAAGTTCCCTCACCCTCCCATCCTCCCAATGCCCCCCCATAGAACCCCCTCCATCCCACCCCAATCCAATCCCCCAAGGAGGGATCATCAAGGTCTGTCACATCATTTGGGGCAGGGCCTAGGCCCTCCTCTGTGTATCTGAGTTGAGAGAATATCCCTCCTAGGATTTGTACATTTCACCATATGCAAATCATATATCAGAAGTCTATACAATTCTTTCAACATTATACTAGACTTCTAGCCAGTTCGATAATACAAGAAAAATAAACAAAAGGTGTAATGAATGGGATGAAGGAAATAAAACTGTCTTTCTTTGAATTTACCATAATTATGAGCCTAGAAAAGGAAAAAGATATAATCATAGTTGAATTAACAGATGAATCTATCAGAGTTATACATGATTATTATATAGTTATAGGCATTTCTATAACATGTAAGTCTAATTTTCTGAGTGATGGCATTTCTATATATACAAAATATGCTCGTGTTAATAGCAGTCATGATTGCCTGCACTAGGCCTGCATAGGAATTGCCAACAGTGAATGAAGATCCTTCCCTCGTTTCCCAGACTTACTTAACATGACAAACTGACTGGTAACAACCGCTTCTGTCAGCCTAGTGCATGTTACAGGGTGTATTGTAAGCATGTGGAAGAAAGTTTAAGCGGAGGCCAGTGTAAGCGTTATGACTGGTCGGATTGCATGGGCAGGAATTCTGGCACTCGGGAGCCACAGAATACTGAGTGTTACATCTCTGATGGAAAGATGTTCTGGCGCTCGGGAGCCACAGAATTCCACAGGTGACAGTAAGTGAAGCAGCTCACAGCCTTGCTCCGGGGAAAGGCTTCCCCAGTGTAACAGCTCTGCTCTCGCAGGGGAGGGCGGAAGTTGTTACCATTCAGCTTAGGTCGCCTGAGTGTAACAACATCACTCGGCTAGGGGAAGGTTTCCCAGAAAAAGTGGTACAGCCCTGCCTGGTCTCGCTCAGCTCTGCTCTGGATCCAGTGAAAAGTTGTTACTTCTCTCCTCCTCTCCTCTGCTCCATTCCCACGAAGGAAGGTCTCACCCAAACCCCATTCGAGAGATTTATTGGGAGGGAAGAATCCAGGAGAGTGGCTGCCCTCTGCCAGCCAGGCAGCCCAAACGTTCACAAGCTGAACAGACACAGGGTTTATATAGGGATTCTTAGGGGGTGGAGTTTTTCCAGGGTGGAGATTGGTCAGATTTCAATCCCTGAGCTTAGGATGGCTAGATCTCCTGCTCAGGGGTTGGTTGGTTTTCTGCACAGGTTCAGGGCCAGATCTGGCTCTGGTTTCAGGGCCAAAGCATGTTTCTTTCACTGGTTTTGTTCCCACAGATACGTTGCTCTGATTTCTCCTGAGCTTTTCTGTTTGGTTTATGATGTGCCTATGAGTTAGTGTTAATCATCTTCATGCCTTTTTTTGTTTTTTTAATCTGTGGCTTGCGGTTGGCACTATACTTGGTAGATTCTTGGTCATTTTTACTTCACTCATTCTGTCCATTATTTCACTTTTCTTCTTATAGTGCCCTAATTAAACATATCCTAGACCTTCTAAATTGCCTCAATTCTTTTGACATTATTTTCTGTCTTGATTTCATTTGCTTTCATAATTTCATATCAAATTTCTTCCCATGAGCAAGTCAAGTCCAGTCTCCTAGTAAACTCCTGTATTTTTTGTTTTGTTTTGTTTTCCTAAAATGTCTGGCTCTTCTAGGATCATCTTTCTTTTATTGATTTTTCTGCCTTTTCTCTTATTCCCTTACACTATTAATCAAGGACATTTCAAAGTTATTATCTGATGGTTCCAAGGTTTACTTGCAGCTGTCTGGCAAGTCAGCCCCTCGTCCTTGTACACACCACTTCTTGGTGTTGGTGTGCCTTGTAACTTTTGGTTTGTTTGTTTAAAGCCGCTCATAATGGACTGCATAATAGGAAAAGAAACACAAGGTTTCAGTGGGCCATCTTGTGGCAATTTTGGATGTATTGGTAACTCCTAAAGCTGGAGATTCTAGGTACTCAGGTTCATCCTTGACGGATCTCCCTGGTGTCTCGTTTCCCGCGAACTCTACCCAGGTAGAGTTTGGGTCTTAGGACTTCAAGCTGAGATGAGCTGGTTTTGTTCTGGGTCCCTGTTAGACCTGTGTGTGGGGAAAGGAAGCTTTTCTTAGTTTTGGTGGGGTTGCTGGGCTACGTCCTTCACAAGCGTGCCTAGTCATGGTGGACCCAGGGGCTGGGCCTGGCATGCGCTTCTAGGTGGGGATAGGCTCAGTCCACTCCTTTCCTGGGACAGGAGACCTCTGCTGTGTTTCAACAGAGTTAGTTTTCTTCTTTCTTTGCCACAAACTTTCCTGGCTTTTAATGTGAGAAGTTGCTTGGCTTCTGGGAGTTAAAACCATGGAAGCGTGAGTCCCTCCCAAGGCCTCTATCCCAGGGGTCTCCTCCTAGCTGCATGATGCTTGGCTCCCAGCGATTCATCAAAGTTATCATGGACTTGTCCTGGGAGGTCACGGCTCCTGAGGCTTCCAGGAGCCCGCCCATCTCCAGGTTATACTCAGAGCACTTGCCTCAGCAGGCTTCATGGCCATCATATCTCCTCGGAAAGAATTAACAAAAGGTTTGTTTCCAATTAGGTTAAAAGCATCTTGCTTTCCACGTTCTAAATGATAAGTGGCACTTGGGGGCAGAACATATTTGCATTTTCGACCTAAGCAAGGACTTGTATCTGCATATAGAGAACACATCCAAAACTGAACGGTTAAAAAAAAAAAAAAAAAAAGCAGACTAAGGATAAATATCTAAGAGACACTTCACCAAGCTAGGTGGATAGGTGACAAGAGTGTAGTACTCTCTATCGTTAACCTCAGGGACACAATGGCTACAGTGAGGACTGACCTCAAGGTGTGGCAACAGATCACTCATCCACGCTTAATGGGCATGTGGAATGAACAGCTGCTTGGAAACAGCCCTAGAGTTTCTCGAGATAGTTAAACAAGCCCGCCCAATGACCGGTTGTTTCCACCACTTACTTAGAGTCTTCCCAAGGGAGATGCAAGCATGTGCCTTGGCAACCATTTTGTATGAGAACACTAGCAGAAGCTGGATCTTTAAGAGCCAGGGATTGGAAAAGACGTGGCTTTTCATTAAATGGTGAATGGGTAAGCCATGTGGGATGACCACATGACGGTGCAGCACGGGTGAACCCGGTCTTCTGTGCTGAGAGCAAAGCCAGGCCAAGTGTCATGCGATCGTGATTTCATTTATACAGAATTGCAGAGCAGAAAGCTAATCTATAGCGGCAGGAAATAGATGAGTCATTTTCTAAGGACCCGTGGCAAGAGCCAAATTGAAGAGCTGCTTAAGAGGGGAGGTGATGGGTTTGCCCATAATCTTAGAGGTTGCCTCACAGTTGGATGGCTAAATACTTATCCAATTATATATGTAAAAGATTTAACATTAGAACTAACAAAAAGTTCTCATTATGTAACTCAGTGTATATCAAGTTCCAGAAGGGAGAAAGCAGTCTATAGAGACACAGAAAAATCACCGTTTGCTGGGCCATGGCTGGGGGCTGTCTGACTGCCTCAGGATACCTGAGAATCTTTGGGGTGGTGAAATACTTGTGGAATGAGACAACTGAAATTTGGGAGTCTTCAGCACATGTAAGTTATACCGCAGCATGCTTCGTTCAAAATGTCAGGTGTAATTCTGATCTTTGGCCCTCCAAGTTATTCTCTCAAGAGACCACATTTTAACAATATTGAGAATCCAAAAGAATTGAGTAAACACAGCTAGACTGTCGAGTTTATTCACTATGTATTTATTTTTGGTTGAGGAGCTAGCCTTGAAACCACATATTTCTGGGTCGCTATGAAATACATCCGCATTGAAGAAATGTCTGTAAATGTGTGGAATTATGGGGATCTTCCCTTTCTGTTGGGAACTCTCCCCTTAGGAACAGTATAGAAACTGTTTAAGCTTTAGAAAATTCATGGTACCAGAGTGTGCTTTGCTGCAAGCGTCCGACCCGAGTCACCTATTTCTAATTGTCACCCTGAAAATAATGAATTAGAACCATCTGATTTGGCTATATTTGTAGAATGTCCGTATGAGCAAATCCTTTGAATGTCCTAATTGTTTCGTTTTAGAATGATTTGGTAATAACCCCCCCCTTTAATAGTTTAAATGTCACACTCAGATGCCAAATGAGTAATGTAAAAGATTCGAGCGTATACAATGGCCATGTGTAATGGCCGGAAACATCCCATTATACTCTTCCCAGGCTGCTCCCACCCAGAGAGGATATGGGTGGTTTTAATTATTTGTTGAAGAACACAAGTCTATAAAATATTAGCTATGATGAAATGGAGAGAATATTTTGAGGCAGCTACAGACAAAATGCTGCTGTCAAGAAGATGAAAGGCCGGATGAGTCACCTTGTGTAGGGAAAGCCACCCCCATTTCCCAAGTGGGAGCTCGTCATCTCCTAGGCAATTGCACAATGGTGTAGCAGCTCATACAGTTCCTGGGGCCCTGGGTGAGCTCGCTGTCCACACTGTGTTGTACATCACTGGGCAATGGCTTGGTGCCAGGTGCCCCAAACCTAGGAAAGCCCAGACTATCAGAAGCTATTTCCAGAGTAACTGTGCTCACCATGGAGAGGATCCAGTGCTGAGGTCTGTATAAATATTAACGAGCTAAATGGGAGTCAGGCTCACCCATGACTGCACTGCATCACACAGTGTAATCATGGGACACCTAGAACTACAGGGACAGGCTATTTTTACTCAGGCTTTTTGAGGTAAACTGTCTACATGAAGAAGTGAAATGTTATGAAAAAGGAAGGTGGCGTGTGTGTGTGTGTGTGTGTGTGTGTGTGCGCGTGCGTGTGTGTGCGTGTGAAGATGACGCCAGGAGTTCATTCTTTAACAGCCCATTCCCCTCCTGCAATGACACAGGCATTGAGCAGTAGCATCAGTGGGTACAGGACTCAGAGCAAGCGCAAGCAGGCAAACCAGGCTCAGATATAAAAAAAAAAAACCCTAACCGCAACCGCAGAGAAGGCTGCACTTCGGAGCGGGGCCTCCGTGGCTGGATCACCCAGGAAAACAGCTGTAAAGGTGATACGCAGAGGTCTTGAAGACAGAAGAGAGGAGCTGTGTCTCCTAGGAGAGATCGAGGGGCCAACAACCTACGCTGTGGAAACTCTTTTTACTTCCCTCTTGTTGCTTTGCTTAGCTTAAAGTGTGTTAGCCCTGAGCTGACCAAGATTTCCTCCTGTGTGCACACCTCAATGTCTGCACAATCAATTCTTCCTCCTCCTCTTCCTCCTCCTCCTCCTCCTCTTCTTCTCCTCCTCCTCCTCCTCCTCCTCCTCCTCCTCTTCTTCTTCTTCTTCTTCTTCTTCTTCTTCTCCTTCTCCTCCTCCTCCTCCTCCTCTTCTTCTTCTTCTCCTCCTCCTCCTCCTCCTCCTGCCTCTTCCTCTTCCCCTCTCTCTCTCCTTCTCCTTCCTCTTCCTCTTCATCTCCCTCTTCGTCTCCTTCTCCATCTCCTTCTTCTTTTTTGGTTTTTCGAGACAGGGTTTCTCTGTATTGTTTTGAAGGCTGTCCTGGAACTCACTCTGTAGACCAGGCTGGCCTCGAACTCACAGAGATCCGCCTGCCTCTGCCTCCCCAGTGAGTGCTGGGATTAAAGGCTTATGCCACAACCAATTCTTAAACCGGGGTAGGGCAGGAACTCTGTTGGAGAGCGCAGGAGGTCAGGACTTTGACCATGGCAGCCCTCGAGTACTCACTCTTCTTTCTTGCCCCTGCCCCCTGCCCCCCGGGTCATCTACTCAGCTGCCCTCTGCTCCTGCTCCCCCTGCCTTGCTGGTCCAGGTCACCTGGGTCTCTGACTCACCGATCTTTATGGGGACCCAGGAGTTGTGAAATGTGTGGCTCACGTGTCTGGGCCGTGCGTGCTGCGTGTTGATTTCATACCCTGCTGCCCTCGGCTTTGCCTGGGGTCATCTGTCCGTCGGGCTCACGAGCGGGTGGAATGTGCAGCTCGCGGGGTTCACCTCTTGTTGTTTTGTGCTTTGAGCAGGCAGGTCAACCCCGTTGGCTCCCTTCTCTGTGAATGTTAGACACCAACACTCAGATTAAAAAAAAATCTAACCAGGCAGGAAATGCTGACCAATAAGCAGCGGGGACAGTCAACTGGGGTGACCTCAGAGGACACAGTGGAGGAGCAAAGTTGGAGAGACATACCACCATCACCTGTCCCACAAAACCCAAAGGGACCGTGGGAACAAACAACACATTTTTTTTTTGTCTGAGATGAGTCAGAGGGACCAGAAAAAATTATCTGCCTAGAAGCCTTTCCTGTGTAACCGGAAAGATAAAACAGTGAGAAGCGTTTGAATGTGGGGCTACGTGGGTGAAAGTTGAGATTGTGGGAGCCACTCAGCTTGCGAAGAAGTGAAGAGCAGATGTGGCCCCAGAGGACAAAGGGCAGGAGAGAAGCCAGCGTGCGGGGTGAACGGTGGCCAGGAGTCCACAGCCCTCTTCAGCTGGAGGACCCTGTCATAGGATGTCACTGTCAGGATGTCTCAGCCCCTAAGCTGGCCTTGGATGGCTTTGGATCCACTGCTTACGTGGAGATATTAATATCCCACCGCCTACAGGACATTAACCCTGCTTGTGACAAGCTTGGGTTTCAACAGTACCAGACTCAGGTTCAAACACATTCAGGTTCCACCAGAAGCATCCAAACCTCTCGTGTCCGTGATGGCCAAGCTGGGCTTGTGTTTCTGACTGCAGGTATTTGAGGGAGCATCTAGGACTGTGGGAAGTCAGTGCCCAAAGAGTCAGCTTAGCAATGTGTTTACAAGCTACTCAGTAACCTTTGCCGTGTTGGCTTTGCTCTCCTGCTTTTCCTAGCTGAGCCCATTGGCCTGAGATAAATGAGGGGAGATGGAAAACTGGATCTGTACAGGCCCGAGAGTCTCGTGCAAGCTTGTGGGAAACCCAGGCATGCTGGGTTGCCGGTGTGGCTGCTTAGAAAAAAGCAGATGTCTCTTGTCCTGGTCCTGTGGTGCAATAGCTCCCTTTATGGAAATTTCTGTGCTTGTGTCCTGAGCTATGCAGGGAGGGGGAGCTAAGATGCTTTGTTTGTGAGGCACCTGTCCAGATGTCTTGGCAACGGACAGAGAGACGGGTCTTGCCAGAGCCGATCCCAGAGTGTGTCTGCACATGTATGCACACATACATGAACAAGAGTCTTCATGCAGATGGCATTAGCTACAGTCCTCGTTGCTACCCACAGAAGCAGTTAAGGGAGGAGAGGCTTATTTGACTTACAGTTCAGAGGGTAGAGTGTACCATGGTGGTGGGCGGTCATGGCAGCCAGAGTGTCTTGGTCTGTGGCGGTAGGAACCCGTGGCTGTTCCTCCTCGCATCTTGGTGGATCAGGGAGCTGAGTGAGCTTGTGCAGGAAGTGGGACTGGGTTATGGACCATCAAAGGCTAGCTCAAGTGATCCCAGCTGTCATTTATAGTTTCTCAGCAGCAGCAGCAGCAGCAGACCCTCCTCACAACCCCTGCCCTAGCCAGCTTCATGGCTGCTCTGTTAGTTGGCTCGGAAGTCCGGTGGGAAGGAAATGCTACACTCTGTGCAAACAACCCACCGTCTCCGCGGTTTAGTGAGCATGCTCCATGCCACTGGAATTTCTCTGCCCCGGGTCCTCTTTTCTTTTCTCCCCCCCCTTCTCTGTTGGTTTGGGTATGTTGTGTCCCCTCAACAGCTCACAGTAGTAGGAGCTGCGGGACCCTTGAGGGACGCTTCTCTCGGGAAGGATAGTGGACTTCTTGTGGGACCCCAATCCATTCCCGTGGGAGTGAGTCGCTATTAATAGGCCCTCCCTATTCTCTGTTTCTTGTTTCCATCATGTGCTTTTGTCTTCATAGCCATGCCCAGGCTGTGTTACTACGCACCGTGTTAAATTGTGTCCATCAATTATTCCTCCTAGACCAGATCCATGAGGGAGTCAAATGGGAGAATTCCAGAATCTTCCCCTGCCCCAATGAGCTTAATAACTTCATTTATAAGTTCCTCCACGTCCCTCTAGAGGAAGACAGACATCAGTGTGAAAGATAGCTTGCTGGGGATGCAGGGAA